AGAAAAGAAAAATTACAATAAGGATATAATACAGGAAGAAAGAATTAGTTCGTAGAAAGAAAGATATGAAGCGATTTCAATCTCTTAGTTTAAGGGAAGACATACAGTGTATACACCGACGCCATTGTGATCGATTCTGAGCCATGTCATCAATAGTCTGTATCTACCAACATGGCTCAGACTACCAGCTCAGGAACACTAGATGTCAGAATTGTTAATGTCAGTTCATTAAGTTTCAACTTAGATTAGTGGTTTGCGCAGTTTTTGCCTGGTCGTCACTGATTGTTTTGTCAGTAAAGCTTATCACTAATACTTGAAACGAGGGACCTCCGCAATTCTCACAACGCAAAAGTAAGAACACAAAGACTTGTATAAGTGAAGATTTATCAACCCCCAAAACACGACAACGACGACAACCTTAGTCGAAAATACACTCATCAATATATTGATTGTACACCCATTTCGATTAATAATTAGGATGAAATCACATATGCTGAGCATAGTCCATGTTCATTGAATACAAGAATATCGTATATTATACAGAACAAAGTATCATACGAGAAAAGAAAACGAATTCTACACTGAATAATCATCATATTGAATCAGAACGGAAGTGATGTTGAACAAAACTCATAATTAGTAAATCAATTGAATTTTGACTTTTCTTCTCGTCATAAAAGCTTTTCCATTTGTAAGTAATATTTATCATGAATTGACGTCAGTTGGAGATTAATTATAAACCAAAAAGAACTGAGTTACTCGCTTTAACCAGCTAGTGAATCACCAGAATTACATATACACGACTTTATGTAACATCCATCCTGGGACCTTTAGGTATCGAAGTAGGCAGAATGACTTTTCGCGGCCAGAGTGAAACTAAGTATTTCTTATTTGTGATCTTTGACAGAACGCAGTTAATGTCAAAAAGCGTCACTAGACAAGTATCACATTTCCGATCCAGTTGATATCTTGGTTCCTGGACCCCTAAAAGAACTTTGACATGTTCATTATAAAAATAATCCTCTAAATTATTGTAAAAGATTAATGTATAGCAAAATTCTTACTTGCTTTCGTATGTAAAGATAATTGTTCAACTGGTTTCGATTGAAGAAATAGGTCCCATCGTACACTGTTCATTCCATTCGCTCTTATTTTTTCAATACACTGTTGCATATAGTCTAAATGATCATTCGGACGATGATACATTAGTCCAGTCAATAAACACTAAAATTTAAAAAAAAAACATAATTTTAGCTTCTGCGACACATCTCAGTGATTACATTAACCAGTCTTTAAGAAAAGAACCAGTCTACTTTAGCACTTTCAGTTTGATCAAGTAGGCTGTGTCACTGAACTTCACACCGAAAATATAACTTGAGATTGACTTCCTCATTTGATACTAAGTTCATGGCTCAGCCTACAATGCTGCAAAGCATGAGTAGCAACATGTACTAACATAGGATACAACGTCCTTTCTTTAGAGATCCAGTCTACTATAGCCAGAATATAAGGCTATTAAGAAATGGTATTCTTGAGGTGTAATGTTCAGCGATCCATGCTGCTCAACTTTTTCAGCATCAGCCGAATCCCGACTAGTATTTATTTCATTCAAACTTGGATTTACTACCGTTATCAGTATTCTAAAAGGCTTTTCTGTATGAAAAATGTTATAAAACGGTAGAAGCTATGACCTTATGGGTTTCATAAAATTTCTAATAATGAAAACGAAAACACAGAAAGAAATCTATATGGATTGTAAGTCGGTATGTTAGGAGTTTTTCGCCTTTTGTTCGGTAGATCTTGAAAACTATTCATTGAGTCACTTCTTTGGCTCATTAAAAACATATATTGATAATGATTTCTACTAATCAAGAACGAGAATTAATTTCCAAAATATTAACCCTATGTAAGCTCATATATACAAACACACAGAGTAAAAGCAAAAAAACGAAGATTTGAGACTGCCTACGGTACATAAGCATCATTATGTTCAAAATACATTGTGATAGACCCAAAATCTTATTGCTATCAATGTCTCGCAGAACTGTTTCGGCTTCATACTTGTGTCAGCAGTGACTGTCATCAATTACTATGGTCATCAGGTACATTTGAATCTAGTGTAAATACCAAGTCAATGGCCTGTTTTACTTATCGACATTCTCATCAGATTTTTACACACTATTTTGTATGCTCTCTGAGGTACGATGTAACTCATGGAAAAACGGAAATGTTGCAACAAATTGAAATTGCAGCGAAACTTATCCACATTTAGGCAAGAGTGGAAGACGCAAGAGTTTGATTTTGGCAGATAGGTTCTTTTAATCTAAATCTAAAATCATGCAGTATCAGATGAATTATAAATAAATCATTTTTCTAGAATGACCATAAGAATAGAGATTGCATTAAATACTTTCGGACTGTTAGTGCATGTCTGTGATAAATTTATATATCGAAAACCATAAAAGTTATTGGATTACATTATAAAAATTAGAAAACGAGAAACCCATAAACAAATATGTTAATCGGGATATGAAAATTCCGTTTTCTTCCAAAAATCAAAATCTTGATATTTTCAAAACTGTAAAATGTTCCTATAAATGTTAAGTGACATACCTCAAAAAGCTGAGGAATACCTTTTTTAATAAGGTAATCTCTAGTATCAACCATTTCACCTTTAGAACTTTTCATTTCTAAAGAGCCACATTATAAACTACATTAGAAACCGATGCATTCAAACGACAGCAATTGTGACCCGAATATCTTTCTAAATGTTTCTATAACTTTGAATATTTTCAACTATAGTTGAATTGTTGAAATTTTTTGAATGTTCTGACCATTTAAACCTTCGCAATAAAAAATTGTCGTCGACATAGTGAGTATACTATGCCGTTCCATATTCATTCAATTCACATATGAGATGCTGCGCCGCCCTCTTTTGAAGCAATACTTTGTTGTTCGCTTCACTTTTAATATTGCTTTTGGTATCAGGTTTTAACTTTGCTGCACCCTTAGGAGTAAGATATGGCGTGCCGATTTACTGAAAATTAGAGTCTCAATTGCATGAGATTAGCCACTTAATTGTGTATAATCCTCAACGAGTAAGCAAAGCGAAGGAAATGGATTATTTTCCTGGCAGATATCTTAATTCATATCCAAGGATGTCTTGATGATGTGTAGGCAATGGAATAGTTTATATCGTTTTCTTTTTTTAAACCCCATCCCTCTTGTGATACTACAAATCTCCCTGTCCTTCCACGAATTAATTACTTTGGTCCCAGATGAGGTTGATTCTCGTATGGTTTGTTACCCTGCTCCTTATGCGCCTCTGGATTTGTTTACGGCTTTTCAACTCAATCGAAAAGGGGCCAACAATGTTGGGGGTTTCAAAATATCTCTACCAATATGAGAAACAAGTTGACAACGAATGCAACCAGTTTTCCGAAAACATATCGCGGGCACTTCGGTGCACCTCCTGAAAAATATTTATTAAAGACTGAATGGTTTTCTGATGGATGATGTAAGATACAATTCGTTCATCAGTTGTGTAGGTGATTATTAAAGATAACAATGGTTGTTCTCAGCTGATTTTGAATGCGATGAAACGTTTTTCCCCAACTCTGTCGGAATGAATGGAAGGACGAATAAGGATCAAAGTTAGCTTAACGCGATGCTCAATGCATCGGAAAATTCATAAACAAATCCATTTTCTTTGGACTTGTGAAAAGCCTTTGGCCTTGCAAGAACATAATGGGTGGGGAAAACAATTGTGATAGCTTCAAGAGTAAAACGGATTTAGATTCTAGGTCACATACGTTAGTACGACCAAGAAACTGTCCACTTACAGGCATCGTTTGATAAAACTTAACGAGTTGTCCGAGGCAATGAAGATGGTTTCGATAAAAATTCATGCAGCCTAATTTCTCATATGAAACATGTCAATTAGTGTCTGTCCCCTTAATGTCCTTGTCTTATTGGTCTCTAACGATATGAAGAGCTGTCCCTGAAAAATTCGTGGGTATTGTAGCGGTAATTAAATCCCCAAAATAAATAGCTCTGTAAGTCTTCGACCTTTGATGCTGACCACATCAGTTTAGAGAAATCACCCAGCTGAAGGCACTCGATCATTCATCCGCACCAGATCACGCCGCGCACGACCTCTCTTACAACTATTAGCCAGTTTAGATCGGTCGCTTCTAGATATATTGATAGCTTATCAGATATATCTTCGAACCTCCTCGTTTCTGACTTTTGATTTCACTGGGTGAGTACGATTCAATTATAGAAGGTTCTACTGGATACAGTGTTCTCAAACTAGAAATACCCGTCTCATCTTCAGGATGAAACGAGTCTAACGCATCATGTAGGTTTGATGAAATCTTTCACTGAGCCTTAAGCTATTTCAACAAGCTGTCCCTTAATTTCTACTAGTCCTCTATATTTTAGAATACGGTTGTTGGTCTGGTTTCGTCAAAAACGGCTGTCCACCTTAAGACACTTATGAAAAGATACTTGACAGTTCTTAATGCTATGACTAGTACAGGTAGGTTGAAGATGCCACAGGTATTCGGAATTTGACAGCGCTTTAACCAGTAACACCTAATATGAATCGTACCCACCAAGTGAAATCAAAAGACAGAAGCGAGGAGTTTGGAATATATATTTGATAGGCTATCAATATATGGAGGATCGTTTGATCTAATCTGGCTATCGACTGCAGGGGTTGTTGAGCACGGCGTTCCCACTCATGATTTGCTGCGGATGCATGACCGAGCGCCTTCAGCTAGGTGATTCCATTAAAACTAATGTGGTGAGCATCCAATGTTGAAAACCTACAGAGCTATATCTTTTGGGGATTTATTTACCGCTACAGAATGAACGTCACATAGTTTAGGTTTTTTATTCTTTTAGAAACGCGGTCAAATTTACTCATGTTGAGTTATTTCCAGGTGACGGTAAATCTTTTCATTTTATTTTCTACTACTTAACCAATATTTATTTGTCGCGCTTTGCATGGCGGGTTTCTGACGCTTGCGTTACGTAGCGTATGGTAACCTATCATTCATCATTTTATTTCTCCCGTAAACGTGGTCATACTTTTTGGTCATGATCAATCGAAATAATTTTAGCGTTAAAATTCAAAGCTGAGCGGAATTTTCATGTATGAATGCTGTAGTAGGTTGAACTATCTGCTTGTTTTGATTCCCAGATTGTCGTAATTTGATGCTTGTGTTATTTTTTGATTGTTGTCTGTCGCTTTCCGTTGTACATCTGAATGAACTATAAGCTTACTGGGTCGTCGAGTCATCTCTTCACTTTTAATGTCTTTGCGCTACACCGGCTACTTATAAGTACCTTTTGGCCTGACGCGATCCGCTACGATTTAATATATTTATCCAAATGGATGAGTGAATTTCGCGTCAAAGTTCGAGACCTGTCACTTTACACGTGATTGGTTCGTCCATAAATTATGGTCTCGCCGTGTCTGATGTATGATTAAGTAGGAAGAAAACCATGCGCAATCAAATCAAAACGTGACACCAGTCCAATTAACGATCGAATGAAGCCATTTTAACAGGTCCGCGTGAATATCGTAGCTAATGATCAGAGACTTTAAATGACATAGTATAGAACGTTTGCAATTGCACGGGTCCATCCATTCTTCGTCTTCTTAAGTTCCAAGTTTCTAAATTCCTCATAATCTTTTCACTACACTGATTTGTGTGTGCTTGTACCGTTACGCTAGTCAAACCAAAATCTCATCAAATATATAAACCTAAGTAATTGCACGCTTCCTGTTTGTGCTGTAAGTGGTAACCGTAGTACAAAGTTATTTAGACGGAAGTTGATCATATTTCCTCAGTAGTTAACTGTAGTCCAACTTATATAGAAACAGTTCATCATCATGTTATGAGAAATTCGCACTTGGATAACATACCTGTTTTTTGTTTAATATAAGGGAGTCAAAGTACTAATCATATGTTGATACATTCCGTAAAGTGCTACGTTTTCACGTATTTTATTGTATATTTATGTCAATTGATCAGTTTGGTAACTTGGACCGATGAATATATGTGTCTGGTCCTACGTTGTAGCTGACTGACTAATTACTGGGTTTTACACCAAGCTTCTTGAACCATTTACTGTCACTCATAGTCAAATTCTAGATAATTTATATATGTACACAAAAAAACTTACGGCGCGTTTTAAATGTAGCATGTGATTGTCGTCTAATAGCATGATTATATCTTACGATATAGTGTTTATCGTCATGTAATAACTCTTTTTAAGTCATTCACATCTAATACAAAAATGATAAGTACTTCTCAGCGCGAAACTAACTCAGTTTATTTTGTCCATTACCATTAATTTATGTATTTGTAGGTAAACCAGTAAAGTAATACTGGTATGTATGAGCAAAGATTGTTTCGAAAAATCATGTTTAGCTGACTTTAGTGCTTGGATCATGCAAAGTTGGAAATGCTGTTCTTTTGTTGTAGGAGAATTATGTTGGTTTTGGTTTGAAACGTCTCAGTCCTAGCTACTACTCCACCCATAAATACATGTCTTCCGTCATATTACTTCTCTAATTGAAATATTTGTTTGTGGGCGAAAGTATTTATGTAACTAAGTCTATTGGGTTTCAACGTTTTAGGTAAAAAAGAGAATGGTTCATAATCCGACTGATGATATTGATTTAAAAGTGTCAACACTTGATCCAGATATACAAATTGGAGAAGTGTATAAAGTTTTACGATCTACTGGTCAATACTGTAACGTCCTTAGTATTTTGAAACTTACTTCCTCTTGGCATAGATCCTGCCGCTGTAATTGAAGGTCGTATAGATGGTAATGGGAATAAAGAATATTATGTTCATTATTGCAATCGTATGTTGTTTTACTTGTTTAATTGTTACATTTATCCAGACGACCGTAGATTAGATGAATGGGTTACATCTGAACGAATTGACTGTTCTGCAAAGCTTAAAATTCCATGCGAGTCGTCTCTTAACCAGTTAACAGATTCTGCTGGGTGTGATGTCCGATTTACCAGAAATCAGAAACGCAAGTTGGAAGAAACTTCCAAAGTTCTTCAAGTGAGTGGTAAATTATTAGTTTACATAACAGCGAAGTAAAGAATTGGGTTAACCATAGCGTAGAAGGAAAAAATGGCAAGTCAGTTAGTGAGGTTGTGAATCTTCATCGACTGAGGTGGTTCGAACTCGTGTTACGCATTCTCAACCGTCTACTACCCTAACAGTCGTTTTTAGCCGACCTAGTAGTAGGTTGGAAGAAAGCTAGGGACAGGTAAATCAAAACGTGGTATCAGTCCATGAAAATAATAGCTGTTGACCTGAATGGTGTTGGTAGATACTACCTTTATGGGGTCCGCAATCAGGAGTTGAGGTTCGATGATATACTTCAGGATCAGTCACAATGTCATAAGTGCATTTACTCTCTGCCCTGCTCTAGGTTTTTAGTTCCACTATCTATTCACATATTCCTCCTCGTATCATGTGTTTGTCATTATAGTTGTTACATCATTTTTATCCATTTCTTATTCATGTTATTAGTTCATTCTTATCTTGCTGACGTAGTGTATCAAATTCACCCAACGCACATTTGCGTTAGGCTGTCAGTTGATTATGATTGAATGATCAAAGAAATGATCTGATTCTCACTCCACAGATGTTTTGCATGTTTGTTGTGTATGTGATTTCTTTTTTTTGCCATGTTATTTTCTCCATTTCATGTGTTTGTTGTCACATGCTTTTTGGTTTGGTTGTTATCATATATATTTTTTCTTATTCACAGGAAAGTGACTCTTTAGACTCTACTACGCAAAAATTGGAGCTTGAATATCAAGAAGTAAGGTTTTTTGAAAAAGTTAATTCGCATAACTTTGATAATCGCGCTTCAATTTCTCCATTGAGTTTGTTTCTTTACAATGAGTTTATACCACAAAATACTGTTTTATTTTGCGGGAATAGCTATACTAAAAATGGTCCTAGTAATAGATTTGTAACATTTGGAAAAATAACAATGATAACATCCATTAAATCAATGTTGTTACGTTCTAGACTAATAGGGTTTTTTCTAACTAGTTCTCTCTAGAATGAAATGGTAGGTTAGTCGTTAAGACGTTCAATTTCGAGCCACAAGGCTGCGGGTCCGAATCCCGCTCCAATTGTTTTGGCTTAATATCACTAACCCTCACAGTTAGGATGTGACTTGAAGTCAAGTACACTAACTTGCAACTGCCAAATGAATATCCTTTCTCTATCTCATCATTTTTTCAGTTAACTTAGTCTAATACTTCCAGATGTAGAGCAGATAGAACTTACAAATGATCATGTAAAAGGCTGTATGTGATCGTCCGCAAGCTGATGTCATTTTGGAACTAATTCAACTGTTCTTTTAGGCACTTTAGACAAAATATCAGTTTTCACGATGTAAGCGACTGGTGACTATTATGTGTTTAAAAGTTTTCTTAGTCAAATTTTTCGATGTCTTCTTGACCTTTAGAAACAAATTACCATGGGTTCCTTACATTATCAACGAGTTTAATTATAAGTAGTCTACTCTGCATTTCTCTATGTATTTGACAAATATCTGGTCGAGACGGCAAAATAGGTAGACTTTAAGTGTAGAGTAATCCCTTGAAATCTAGAATGACCATAGTCGCTGATCGTCCCAGTCTAAATAAAATGGTGAAAGTACTTTTGTGATGAACACAGAGTTGCGTTAGTTAATATAGGGCCTAAAATATTAGCTCGGAATATCGAACCTCAAAAGTTCTTGTCTATTTTCTGCCCTGGTACGGCCAAGAGTGGGGAGAGTCATCTCCCTCTCTAAATGCTCCCACATGGCCACGTGCATACAACCACTGCCAGGGAAGTTCTACTCACTGCCTTCTGCCGACGGGAGAGTTGTTTACAAAATTGAGAGGACGAAAAGCGAATGTCCGGCGCTTTAAGCGGGTCAGTGCTTATGGTGGATTCACCTAGGAGAGTAGGAAAACCCTGATTCTAAACCAATGGTGCACATGGGCTCCAGGATCCTATGGAAACAAGTGGCGTATGAACCAATTGTTGGTCACCGGCTACCATGGGACTGCATCTCCCTCTTTCGGATTAGACCTTCAGGTCAAAGGCTCGGAGTGTGACCCCCTAAGTAGACCACCTGCTTCGGTTTGGTCACCCGGGCAGTATCCTAGTCCACACAAATCGAATGATTTATGTGGCGCATATCTGTTTGGTTCCTCCTTGTAACAATGTTTATGTGTTTAAGTGAATAAATAACATCAGATGGGTTTTGTGGATATTATAGTAATTCCAATGGTTAAGATCATGAGTCATTTGAAGCTAGATCACCATGGAAAACCTGGAAGCACTGGACGGCCGTTTCGTCCTATTGTGGGTCAATGGCGGATGTGTCGCTCAATTTCGTGGATTAGTTGAAGTTAGACATTAACACCGTTAGATGCCGGCTCAGTGGTCTAGTGGCTAAGTGCTCTTGCGCGAAACCAGTAGGTCCTGGGTTCGAGTCTCGCAGGGGGCAAGGTCGTGGATGCGCACTGCTGGGGAGTCCCACAATAGGACAGAACACCCGTCCAGTGCTTCCAGATGGTCTAGCTTCAACTGACTCATGATCTTAACCATTGGAATAAATAATAAATAGAATAAGTCTTATGATCTGACCGTGAAAATGTACGTTTAGTATTCACACTTCGTTTGTTTTTGGAATAGAATCTTTCTTGCATATGTGATAATTATAATTAGTTAACAGGCTTAAGTATACTTTTATTTCCCACTGAATGCAAGATTTTACTTCAGAACTGGTCTTGATCAATACTTAGTTTGATTATACTGAGTGGAGTAGTCTATCATGTTGACTACATAACACATCTTAAAATCCTTATTCCTATTGTGAGTTATTGAATCGCTAGATCTTGTCGCGGAAACTAAAAGCCCCCTGGACATTTGTCCGTCTGTGACACAAGTGCTTCAGGTAAGATCTCTATCAACCGATAAGTGAGTAGACTTCATAGTAGTTCGCATTATATTGCGAAACAGCTGCAAAACCCAGCCGCCATGTAAATCAACTATCTTAGAGAAGTCTGTATAAGTGCGAATTATGTTAATATTGATTGAACCTGTCAGCTGATAGCTCACTTATACTGTTTTAGCTTATATCATGTCCGTGTAACATTTTTATTTCTCATTTCGATTATTCTGTGTTTAAACTTTACTTGTCAGTTTACTCGAGTGAAATTTATTGATCAGATACAATTTGGCAAGTACGAAATTGACACATGGTATTTTTCACCTTATCCCGAAGAATTTAGACAAGTGAAAAAGTTATGGATATGTGAATATTGTTTAAAATATATGAAGTATTCAGAAACATGGTTAAACCATATAAAATATGATTGTAAAGCAAAACGACCTCCTGGTAAAGAAATATACAATCATGGAAATCTATGCGTTTTTGAATTAGATGGCAATGTACAAAAGGTATACGTTATGTTTCGCTATTGTTGATGAAAGTGGTTTTATTGTTTTCGATTGGTTACGATTTATGCTACTGTACCCCAAGTTCCATTGGCCAAGGCAGTACCTGCCATTTGTAATTCGTACATAACTTACGCCTAATCTCGGAGTTGTTGATTTGGTCGTTTCACTATACACAAAGATCGCTTCGAACCTATGTGAACTTGCACACCAACTTCCATCCAGGTTTTGAACCTATCTATCAGTCGTATTTGTTGAAAATTCGACAGTTGTTGTTAGCTTTAGACACGCTCCAGAACATGCCACATCGATTGTGTTTGTGGCAGTTCTTATATCTTTGTAGAGTAGAGTATCTCTTTCAAATATGTTAATATGATAATTGGTTATGTTGCTTCTATCAAGTAATTAATTAGTTTTAAAAACTTTAGTTAACCCAAGGATTGTAACCATCTAAGCATAAATATGTAGGCGGGATCTATGGCTGAGTGTGCTGAAAATATGTCGAACCTCGGTATTACTCTCTTGGTGATGAACAATGGATTCTATAAAAGTTATTATTAATAAGGTCGCGTGTTGAACCAGTGAATAAATTCTTCTATGTAAAGATAACTATATGAAAGTTGTGCTAAAACCTAATTTAGTCAACTAGTTTCTTAGTAATTTCATCATCCTTCTTATCTCTATGTGACTGTGAGTTTTTTCGGATATAACTAGTCACGTTGGATCAACCAAACCATTAGTGTTGGTGCTGTGATCTGTAATACTATTTATCATTGATTTATAAATGATTACATTGACGATATCATATCAAGAATTTGATCCCTAAACTGGATAAAGTTCCATCTATGAAAAAATTGATGTAATTATCCTACCGTTAATTGAATCATTTTATCAACGTGGTGTCTCATATTAAGACATTTTATATAAAAATAAAAGACCATTTAGACAAATTAAAAGGTAAGTGGAAACAAAGATAGTAATAAAGTACACATAAACAATGTGAGAATCACACTGCATAATAAATCAATATTACCAGGGTAGGTTCGGGGTTAGAATAAATTGTTTTTGAACACTTAAAGGGGGTTTCAGTTTCCGTATAGACAAGGTTTCAATAAACCTTAGTATACGCCCTTGAAGGCTTTTGTACAAAACTGCAACTACAGATTTGCCGTCCATTGTCATTCTGATCAACACCACCAGGACCTTCGACTTGAAGTAGCGATTGATGATATTGTCCAAAATGACAATGAGCTCTCTCAATAATTAAATCATCTAGTTCAGAGACCTCAGCAACAACAAAAGCGCAAACATGTATGCTAAGTTCACCTTCATTGTCCTTGTTTTCTGATTTCTCTTCCTTTTTTTTGTAATATGCTGTACTACTTATTAATTTTTAGTAACACGTTTCATCTTTAGCAACTTTTGAACACGTAGTTTGACGTATATTTGTAATCATATCATTTTCTTAAGTATACATATAAGCTGATTATATTCAACTTATTTATTATTATAATCACACCTTCTTAATACCAGGAATAAATATTTCCAATTCCAGTGTATCTGATGAGTGTTTATTTTATTATAACAGTCTCCATGTTTTGATGTTCTTCATTTTTCTTTTGACATTATCTCTCATTATATTTTTGATACAGCTATTAGCTGTCACATATATAATCGTATGCTGTTATAAATAACTATATATCCATTTTAGGAGGCGCTGTTTTCTGATTGTACATGAACTCGGCAAACGCCATAGATGCCTAACAAGTTTAGCTTTGTATTATATTTCATGTTATTTCACAATGGTAGTATCGTCTTTATAGATAAGTCTTGTGTTCACTGTTCAAAAAAAGAAATGACGTTATCCTTTTTCACTTTTATCTTTTTTTCTTTACAGCTTTACTGTCAAAATCTATGTCTGTTGGCCAAATTGTTTCTAGATCATAAAACACTTTATTATAATGTCTCACCATTTATATTCTATGTTCTATGTGAGATAGACAATGATGGAGTACATCTTGTTGGTTATTTTTCCAAGGTAATTTGTATTCATCTTGTCGTTCTTATTTCTCATTATGTAAGAAATCAAATTCTTACTCACCGGTTGGCGTTTTAAATATAAAACATATTAATGATGAAGTACGCCGAATTGGTGGATTGAGGTACGGGTTAGTACTTTGCTCAACTGGTTTCAGTTTCAACAGTCAAATATAGCATCATTGATCTTCAAAACTGAATTGTGGCTCGAATTTTAAGTAGCTGGGCTTGTACTTGTTCTAAGCGACTTTCATTAGTAAGAAGACATGTTAACAATCCTGAAGATGATTAAAAACAATGAGAAAAGTAAGGAATAGTAGTTCAATTAACGGGATCTGTAGTACTGCCAAAGGAGTGCGACCGGCTGTCCCTAACCGAATGCCCACGCCGTACAACGATTAATCTTAAGTCATCTGGAACGGAAACTGGACAAGCGGTGATTTCGACGACCTGGGACTATAATCATACTTCACACACTGCCTGTATTCATGTAATCCATAGAGGAGGATGTGGTACGCTATTTTTAGGGTTGACCATTCCTACTCCTCTTCTTCCTCTTTGGGAAGGCAGCATTACTGCAGAAACTGGTTGTCTGATGGAAATACCTTACGAGCATCGCATCGTTGTACAATCAGCACTACCGTTTCACCCTTAGACCGTAAGTTTCGTTTCTTTTGGTCTTATCGCCCTCCAGTCAACCATCTCGGGATGGTAGGATATGAAGAAAAATTGCTATAATCAATATAGCTCGATGAGGTTATCACGGTGGGCAACCTCGACCACCACATCAAGGTAACAGTTATGGTTTGGTGTTCAAAGTGAGGTATTAACAATCTGATAACAGTGAGTAGTGATCGCATCATATCACCAGAATAACTAAATCTGAACATGTTTCTAAATGAGTCTTTATTTAATCGTCTGAATGTGTTTTGTGATCACAATATTTGAAGACTATATGTATTTTATGCTGTTCAAGATTTGTAAATGCCAGGAACTACTGCAATAGATTTGTCCTATACTTCTCCATTATTTTATGTATCAGTTTTCGGTGACACAAGTGTCTTCAGAAGTATAAAATGAAACATGAAAATGGAGTTTTTCTTAAAAAGTAAAGAAGTAGATTGTAAGAAATTATGATTAAAATAATGTATTATACATTGATCAATAGAAAGACAAAGATTGTAGCTGGATCAATTAATTGTGTATTGATTCAGAAAAATCGTCAATCTAAGAACTGCAACCATATTTTTGTTATCTTATGGACATTTTTTGTAGAAAAAATATATTGAGTCTTTTGAAGGTCATTCTGAAGGCCTTTGTAGGTTAGCTATACACACTATATTCTATGATTGCTTTTGCATTGACATACTATTCAACTTCGGCTCCAAGGGTAACCTTTCAGTATTATTCCACACGTGATTCACTTAGTTCAGTTTGCTTGTGTTGCTTAACTGAACTTAATTTTCGGTGTAGAACTTACATTTGAAACGATCCTATCAACTGAAATTCCATTGTTTCACCCAAGAAACTGATCTGAACTTCAAAAAAATGATCAAAATGATCAAAGGAAAATCACAAATAGCGCAATCACTGTGCTATTAGTCTATATTGTTTACACTAACATGTTTTTTTCGCAGATTTTCAACGGTCAATTTATTTAATAATTCCGTCTCGTCAGTCAAAATAGCTGTCACAACTTTAAGGACATTACTGAGATAACGTATGCATAGAGCCCTTATGAATTTCGTGTTAATACTGTTCGCAAAATAAACATTTAAACATAACAGGCTAAATGTTTAGTGTAGACTTGCTTTTAATCTTATTCTCTGGTAGTTCTGATTTTGATTATTTCACTGAAGTTCAGGTCAGTTGCTCAGGTGAAACTTTACAATTATTTAAATTTCAGTTGCTGAGATTAGCTCAAATATAATTTCTTCATCTGATATGTGCTACATACTTAGCAGCCGATTTCTATCACACTATTTGTTTAATTTATGATGAATGTACATTTTAATTTTAATTGTTTATTTGTTTTGTGATTTCATTAAAATTAAGTAATGAAATTCAAGTATTTGAAAGCCATCAATGTTGTCTATTTTAGTAGTTATGTTTGGCACGGTGACCCAGTAGTTAATGCGTTCAATGTTTATCCACTAAGATACATACTTGAAGGACCCTCTACTTATTTCTATTTGATCATTTGAGTACGATCACTGTCCCTAACACTTGAAATGCAACTTAAAACCAAGTTCATGAGTCTGTATCTGGCAAATGGGTTGATAATATAATATTTATATGTCATGTCTTAAGAGCATTCTATGAGACACAAAAAATCAGCTATGTTACATATCAATCAACCAATTTCTGCTCTGTATGTTGAAATATTAAGCAAATCCTACATCGTCTTTCCTTTCTAAAATATTTTCTTTTTCCATTTTTTTTCCAGGAAAAAGTATCTGCTGATAATTATAATCTTGCATGTATCTTAACTTTACCACCATTTCAACGTCGTGGATATGGTCATTTCTTAATTAGTCTCAGTGAGTTTCTCTCATATTTATACATTGTGATTACTATGCTTCTTTTTTAGCATAATTAAATGACTTCGTTTATGAAAACATTCGGTGTGTGTAATTTTGAATGAATTATGTCTAGATGCAGCCTAAATTCACTAATTTTGCTTTGTTAGCTTAAATAATATTTTTCGTTTTTCAGCTTTTCTTGTCGTTTTTCTGTCTATGTACCGGCGTAACTTGTGACCATTTAGACCGATAGATATTTGTACTAGTTCGTACCTTGTCTATTTATTTGGCTGTTTGTATCCATGCATCTCTCTCTGTATATATATCCTTGATACAAATATATTTTTTATAGTGATACTTTTAGATAGGAAATACTTATGATAATAAGTGGGTAATGAGTAATTGAAACTATATTTATCATCCTTCCATTGTTTAAAGTCGTCTGATTCGATAATATGCAGACCTTGTTAACAATTTATAAATGGTTTCTGCAAAATATTTTTTTTGTCAGAACTATACAATATTGAAATTTTCAACCCACAATATTCACATTCAGTTACATTCAATTACATCAGTGTTTTGCTTTCTGAAGGAGGCTAGATAGCTTCTTATAAAATTCATCTCTTACTTCATCCGAATCTGTGTGATCGTAGGCAGTGACAATGAAAAGACAACGGCACGTGTCCCTATCTTTTTGAGTGCTTACTGTCCAGTTTAGTCGGACAACACAAAAGCGACTGTCTTTTAGCATACATTCTAGGAAAGCCTGTTGTGCTTCCAAACTTAATGCCGTACATATACTGACGAGGTCACGAGAATGAACAGTGAGGACTCCAGATACATAGATGTAAATCGTGCCAGTTCTTTAGATTGTCAAGGTGGGGTCAAGTAAATGACAATACTTGGATTCTGTATGTGTGTTTCGGAGACAAAGCGCATTGATGGTGCGAGAATTTAGCTTCTTAGCTTAAGAAGCCTGTTGTCCTATGTGATACAAGGTTTGACCATTCAATGCAGTTTAGAGTGTATTTTCCGGATACCAAAAATAATATTTCGTGAACTCAAATCATTAGCATTGGTGACACATGAGGATAAACATATACGAGCAGAATTGGTTGTAGGAATTCGGTCATGAACATGATGTTCTTGGGTGCTCCTAGAGGTATGAGAGCGTTTTTCACTTTGCTGCAGATGCTGATTATCCGAGAAAAACACCTTACTGTTGTCACACCGCTCTACAGTATACAATATGACTTCACCCTCAAATTTTAAGTTGCTGCTTTTACTGCCACCCTTCTCCAACTCAACTGTCTGGCATGATAGGACCTAAAGAAACATGTGTTCTAGCCAATATAGCTCAGGTAAGTCATCATGTTCAGCAAGCCTGATCGCTACGTTAAGGTAGCGGCTAAGTTGTACACAATTTCATTCACTTAATCGCATCTATTTGTTTTGCTATTGTTTTTGTTATTTTCTTTGTTCAGGTTATGAATTAGCTAAAATTGAACAAATTGTTGGTACACCAGAGAAACCTCTCTCTGATTTAGGTCGTTTAAGTTATCGTAGTTATTGGGAAAAGGTGATATTGAATTTTCTATTAGAAAATCCTAATTGTACAATGAATGAATTAAGGTAAGCTTACAAATGTTTAAGAGTAGTTGTATTTTGCCTAAATAAATAGATAGTACTTTTTTGTCCATTACATTCACTTATTTTTCAGTTTTTTAATTGATACTATACATTCACTTGATCCAAATAAGAAGCAAACAAGGAAGTAATATTCCGAACAACCAAAACCACAGGACATTCAGTAATAAAAAGATGGGTTTTGTATAGTATTCACAGAAGAATCTTCCATATTCTTGATTTACCCTATCCACCAGCACTGACGAAAATGAACCAACCAAAATATCCAGATCTGAGCATGTAATTGTGGAGTTTCTGTTCTCTCTTGTTTCACTAACCTTACTATGTGTTTTGATAGAGTTAGTTAATGGGAAACCATGGATCTAAGTTTTGTGCCAGTTGGCACTTGTCAGCTTGAATTACGTGGAATCTTGAGAGAAATAGTGCTCCTTATGGAATTCAAACTTGTGTCATTATACCTATAGACTAAATAGCTTTTCTCTGTTCACGTGTCATGAGGTAGAAATAAATATTAACTAATTAAACTCTTCAGATTTTTCGCACAACACGAACCTGTTTCATTTGATAAACAGTTAAGAGAATATAAGGAAGCACTTAGGAGATGTTCCATGCTAGTCTCATACTCTTCAGCATTGGTATTCGATTAGAGATCTTCCCTAGGTTTGGCGGCGGAGAGATAATCTTTAGATCATCGCGTCACAATCTAATGATTCCAGCTTCCAAGTATAGTTAGTTAGATTTCTACACACCTTTTTGTAGGCTACGTTCCGGAGTGTGCACACCCAAATTTTCCACCAACGATCGTCCTCATACTAAGACGAGACAGCTGTTTGATGAATAGCACCTAGTTTTTATTGATAATCACCTTCTGATCCAAACCCACTAAACCTATTTTGGTTTAGTTAAACGGTTAGTATCATTAGCTCTCACACTTAGATTGTGGCTCTTATTCAAGTCTCTGACGAGTGAATTTGTTTTATATTATTGCGAATCATTCTCATAAAACAGCTAGCTAATACTCTTTAGCTTTCAATGAATTGTTACCTTAAATGAAACCAGTCTATGTTAAAATACAATCCATTAGTCACAAACTTTCTTTATGTAAACATTTTCTATCAGTCCTTATTTCATATGTTCATTTTACATTTTAGTACAAAAACATGTATTGCCATTGATGATATTATTTGGACATTACAATATCATCCAATTATTAATAATTGGCAACATGGTCATCAGATATGCCTACATCGTGATACTATACAACAATATTTGAATCAATTAAATGATGAACATTCTATGAAAGCCTTTCGTACAGATGGTAAAGAACAACGGAAAAATCGTAAATTGATGCACAAAAACTCTTTTGTATTGGATATCAATCGATTGAAATGGGATCCACCAATTAAATCATCACAGAATAACAAAGAAAGTCAAATGTAATTAATGCTGTTACTTATTTTTTTTTGTGTGTGTGTGTACAAATTCAGTGACTACTGTTATTATCATCGTCAGTAGTAATGAGATTCTCTTTAAAGTTTTATTTTGTTTTTATAATCAACTATATTTTTTTGATTTGTGCTATTATTAATTAGTGCATGAAATTGATCTCCCTCAACATTTCGATGTAAATACAAGTTGTTTTTTAAAGAAATTAAAATTAAATGTGCATTTATCGTCCATCTAAAAATTTTGCTTTGATGTTTATTAGTTCTATGTAAGAGTTTTCAAGATGCGTTGAATGTGTGGACAGTTGTGTAATTGTTGAAATTATTTTAAAATTATTTGCTTACGAAATATATTGAGGTAAAATACATTTTAAAAAATAGAATGCTTGTACAATGTGGGAGACTGGGAGAGTCATCCAAATTGCTGCAGAAATGAAGAGATACAACCTGGAGGTATTTGAAATCAGTGAAACACATTAGACACAGGTTGGACAACAACGACTAGCTTCAGGGGGACTTCTATAATCATTTCGATATCTGCTAAAAATGGAACGCAGAATTCGTGTTTTATCGTCATAACGTTGAACTTGACCCAAGTTTGTATTGCTTTAAACGCCAGAATACTGTCCACTAACCAGTCTTGTAATCTATCAGTGTATATTCAGCATATAACCGACATGTAGTTTTAGGCTGTATCAGATGATAAATTTTTGGATTCCTCATGATATTGGGTTCTGTAGTGCTATCCGGTGAAACCAATGTAACTTTGTATATGTGTTTGTGAGCGAATATGGTGGGACTTATAACTATTTCTTTGAAAGCACATGAATTTGCAAATCTCCTAGCATTGTCGTTCTTTTCTCCCACTCCATGTCGTCCCACAATATCATCATACTTGATGTTGTACATTACGACTTTAGCGTTTCGGTTTTCCCTCAATATGGCAGGTCCTTTCCTGAGCTCGTCTTTACGGTCAATTGCAGCCTCATGAAACTGATCTTTATCGTCTTCGTTGCTACCATTGGTAGGCGCACAACACTGGATAGCATTCATTGTAGTCCCCTTTTTTCGAAGAATCCTTTGATGATTCTACGTCCACGAGACTCCCATCCTATACGTGCTTCTCGTGCTTCTTTGGACACCATCAATGTAACAACTTGTGAATTCGAAGCATTTTCTTCTTCATGGCCAGGGTTCGATAGCACCTCTTTCGAGGCTATTATTTTCTGTCCAGCTTGGATCCAATGGGTTTCACTTATTCTGAACATCACCAGGTTATATCTCCTCACTTACGTAGCCCACCCAGTCTCCCACATTGTCTGGATGTATCATGTATCTATGTTAATTGTTGATCTAATTGTTGGAAGGAATATCAGTCTCGCAATTTCCGAATAAAGTGCTGACCCATACCCAAATCTCCTCCTTTGTGAGCATTATACAGTCATGCACACCGTGCTCGTAAACGAAATACTAGAGTGGTACGAGAATGTTCCATACCTCAGCTACAATAGAGCGGGAAACGCTACCACAATGAAGCATCTTTACCACGCCCCATGGTCACGAGAATGGTATAGGCCAATAGTTGTTGACAACTGGAAGTTGGTGACAGGAATCATTCAGAATGCTATCCAACACAACGTATCTAAAGGTTAGCATGGGACAGCTTTTAGTGGCCCATGGATCTGACTCCAAGAATATCGTAATGATGATTGTTGTTGAAATATATATGTCGCCTATTCTCGTTTATAGTCATCGACTTAAATCGCGTCAGTCAATAGAGGAATTAAATAAGTCAAATAATGAGAATGGACTTGTGAATACATATATTTAGTATATAAAGTGAATGGAATAGAGAGAGGAGAAACGACGCACAGTGGAGATGGCTGGTAAGCCAATTCCCATTTAACCAAGCGTTAATCAATATTTATAGTTACACAAAAGTAAGTTACAGATATGTGATGAGTAATGAAATAAGAAATGTACACGCACCTACGCGCTCATATAATAACACTCAAGATTGATAAGCGAATAATTAACAAGGTAAGAATGTGACTCAAGTAGAATGAATAGAATGGCCTAGAATAACGTGTATGGGCTTAATATAATAACCGACACTACAAGCTAGACACATCATAAATTTACGTGAATTCACTGAGTTATACAACTTTTAAAACAAAGACTAGTACCTTCCCACCAAAACATACACGAAAATCAAACGTTTGTTTCAATACTTCTTTTCATGACGTAGAAAAATACTCATCACAGAAACAAAACAAAGTCTGGATTCAACTTCTATTTATTGAAACATTTACGATTCCTCTATCATGGTCCACAGTTCACCAGCATCTGTATGAATAGCATCAGTGCTTATTCGATAACTCACGTAGTATCCATCCTTGAAACTCCCAATATGACAGATTTCCACTGAGAAACAATGTTTCAAAAGAGCTTCTTCGATTTGTACAGTTTTGGAAAATAAACTAGATTGCAAACAGAGCTGATCGAATATTTCGATCTAGTATATAACACATCCACAATGTTCACTGACGACACCACCAAAGTTCGTTCATAATAAGTTCAGGTTTCATATTCAATAGGTCATTTTACCAACACTTAGAGTATTCAGTGGTCCATGTTCCCAGATTAATGATCTGTTAAACATAACAACTAACATTTAAAATATAGGCACTGCAAAATAGCGTGAAACAAAGAAATCTACATAACACTATATACCATTATAATTCAATGTTGTCGTGTATTTCCGATTTCAAATGAGTTCAAATCATTTATCTTTCGTTTAAAATGAACAAGTTCACAAAATTAAAGATCAAAAGAAATTGACTGAAATGTATCTCTGTATCTCTCAACAATAATATACTTCTTCGTAACCAATGATCTCGTTTTCTAAAATAGTGAAATCTCCCGATCCTCTTACATTTTCATCAAACGTAACTGTAATAAGAAACTTGAGATTATTCAAACTCAATAGTAATGAAAACCAACAAGCATACTGAAATATGCTCACCACTCGATTGTCAATCTCAAAAATCACAACTGACAATGATTTATGTGGTAAGAAACCATCGAATGTGTACAAGTGAATTCTACTCTCCAATAATCATTTCCAAACATTAATCTATTACTCAAAAATGTTGTTACATTTCACTTATCACTCTCCACAATACAACACATTTCATCATTATGTGGTAGTTGATCCAGATCAATATTCTGATCACTTGAGGTCGGTTCAGCAAACATCAATAATGTGACTTGTCATATTTCAATATTATCTTGATGTGCTGATGCCGTGTAATTCATATCAATTCCGATTGCATATTCTAATATCAGAGACACTACCTAGATCATCAAGTGTTTGCCAACTTATGCCTTTTGTCGAAATACATATGTTCTCTCGTTAACTCCCATCTCCTCTCTACTCACAACCCTGAAATACTAATCCATGAAATGTTCTTGTAACTGGTGTCCACTAACTAATTACACAAAAGAAACATTCACACTCAGAGAATCTCCCTTCGAAATTACATAATTAACACTGATGTAAAGAAGAACACGTAACAAAGTATGTTTGGTGATATAAGAATAAAACGCACATACACACACACAAACGCACGCACACAATTTTGTACAATTTTCAACGCATAACTACTTCGCAACTATTAGAAATTAATAAATTAAACCAATAAAAAAATGGGCTACGTATTTCTGACATTTACAATTAAATACACACTATAAACAAACAAACAAACGTTGTATTTTATTTTAAACAAATTCACATGGGATATGATGAATCCATATTGAATTATTGAAACGGTATGCACAAATATAATAAATATGAGAATGAATAAATTTTATTGACTAATAAATATTGAAATAAAAGAATAATTAATTAGTCTATAGATCATAACGACGAGAAAGTAAATAGAAAGTAATTCGGGAACTCTCACACACACACACACACACATAGACACACGACTAACTGGGAAATATTCAACAACAGAATGCATTCATGATACATTCAAGATATGTATATGTATAAATGGAGTCCTTTCAATAGTTTGTCTATTTTCTCTTGTTGCTTACATTGTGAATTATTGGTCTTTCAATATTAATTAATGACTATTATTTGAGTGTTGAATTTTGTTTTGTTTTTTTGGTCATGATGACAGTTGCTTGGTGTGTGTGTGTGTGTGTGTGTGTGTGTTTAGATGATATAACAGTTATAATGGAGTTGAGAACAGTTTGTACTACAGTTGAATAGACTGTTGTGCGTGAAACAACATAAATGAAATACTCCGAAATATTATTGTGTCCAGAATGATGTTGATAGAATAGATATATAGAATAGAATTGTGCTGTGACAATATATCTCATTAATTGTAATTATTAATGATCGTCGATTAAGTCAAAGTGTTTATCTTATGCGAAGAGTGTTGTGGTAATGCACCACTATATCAGTCTGTTGATATTACTATGTACACTAAGATACCACTAAGTCGAATCCCTTTAACTAGTGATTATTCACTGGTTTGCCGATTGATAAGAGGGATATTTTATTTAAAAAGATATTGATTGTTATTTAACTGTTAAAATGTCCTTCTTGTTAATTGATAGGGACATTCAGTATGTTTCATGTGTCTAACAGAAATACGTTGATATTATTTGTTGACCTTTAAAAACAATCGACAAGAAGTCTTAAAACATTGAATGTACTATTAGTTAACTATTATCAACATAGTTTATCTGAGCAAAATATACTGTAATGCAGTTATTTGAGTTATTGATTCACGAATTGAATAGACAGACTTTGAGTTTTATGGGTGGGGAGTATTCCCCGAAATAGACTGTAAACAATGTAAGTGCAAACTAGTGTAGATTTGTCAAACATTTATGTTCAACAAATATATGCCAATCAAATTAGACAAATATCTGAGTGATTTTGTTACATTTTAATATTTATTCGATGAAACATTCAATCATATGTTGCAAACAGTTATTACAGACCTTCACTAAAAACCTGACTATTAATCAAACTAGAGCTTGATAACGAACCAGAGAATTTTGTACGGTAATCAAAACGCATTGGCACTGAAAATACACCATAAAACAAGAAACATGATTTTGAACTCACAGAACGCTTTGTATCATTGATATAATGAATGTCAGTGATAGATCTTAAACCGTGACATCGGGAAGTTAATATTTCAGAGAACATTTAATATTGACTTATACATAATGAGAACTGAATACGTTTTGTACTGACTGATTTAACAAAACCACCGATTGTTTAAAAAGGTTATTGCAACCACAAATAAACGCTGAAAACGTTTGAGAACCCATAAACTTTTATAACTTATATAGAATTCCCCAAACCTCTTCTGATTTGATTGGAGAAGAAGAGATGCGTTGAATATTTTGAGCGTCCGCGAAGTGCTAACTAATTATCATGAAATGAACTAAGACTAATTTGTTTTGTGCAAACTTGAACAGTTGCTCAGTAAAATCTGAAAGTCACAAATCAAATACATCATTTCTACATTTTCTTTGAGTTTCCTTACCTAGTCCATTATTCTTCTAATTCTGTTATGATTTTGAATGCTTTCAAATTTCTTTCTGTTCTTTTTATTACAGTCTTCTGCTACCAGGCCTTTCATTTCCGATTGCGGCTACTTATTACTTATGTATATGTCAGCATAGAAGCACACACCACAATCAGGATCCAAAATTATAGACATATTTAACGAGATAACTGATACATGTGATGCAATAAGAAATAGTTTTATGATTGATATAGAGGTCAACGAATTCTTTAGTACTGTTGACTCTGGGCAATGTTCAAGTACTCTTTCATCAGATTCCTCTCATTCTAATTATCCAGTCACCCCAAGTGAAATTCAAAATCATTGTGACACAGGTGTTTCGAATGAACCGATTTCTGATCAAATTTTTAATGCTGTCATATCAGATGCTGACTATCTTAATGATTTATTGGTTTCTAATGAAGTCTTTAGTGAATTTGAGAAAAATATTTTAAATGATTCGAATTCTGATGAAATCATAATAAATGTTGCATGTTCTCAAGGTTCATTCGTTTATAGTAAAAACCTTAGTCAATATGAAGCACAAATTCCCAATGGGTTCAAATCTAATTATAGTTCTGTAGGACCCACAAAAAATGTTATTATTCTTACAACCCATTCATGTCCAGTCAGTGTGAGAAAATTTTTTCAAATGAGTCACATTCTGATCACATTTCAGATGTCGTTGCAAAATATGTTGGGTGCTCCCACACCCCATGTATGTTACATAAAATCCCTCTTCAATAACATGATAAATCAGTTGACATAACAAGTGTATGCGAAGAAGTTGCAAAACTAGAATGTCCAAGGGTCACAAAATGATCTTTCAACCACTGTGTCTACCCACAAGCACCAATACGACCACATAAGTTGGAACACAACCACATAGTCAGCCAAGATCCAAGCAAGTAGGAAAAGAATAACACTTTTTTTCAAATAGACTATCCATAGAAAACTTATTCTTACGTATTTCATTAAAAACGAAAGAGATGTGTTAAAACGAGATGACAAGGCAAAATTACATTCAGTTAATCATTATGGTTGTTGTTCAACAATTACTTCAACTTTTAATTCTATAAGATGATTATTCAGTGTAGGTTTTGTTTCTGTTTTCCAGTATGATATTTTATTCCGTATAACATATGATATTCCTGTATCAAATTAACATAGACTATGCATATCATGACATACAGAATGTGATATAATTATGGGGTTTAATCCTTAACAAAATGGGTGAATAATAAATACATAAATGTGAGTGTATTTTCAACTAGGGTCATCGTCACGTTTTGAGGTTAATAAATCTTCAGTCTTGGTGTTCACACTTTGCGTTGTGTGAATTGCAGTGTTTCCTCGTTTTACAAGTACAAGTAATGAGCGACTCCGAAATAACAATTGGCGACGACCAGTCATAACAACTGGTGATCTAGTTAAAACAGTAAACCACCAGTCATAGCATAATTAATGAGATATATTGTCACAGCACAATTCTATTCTATATATCTATTCTATCAACATCATTCTGGACACAATAATATTTCGGAGTATTTCATTTATGTTGTTTCACGCACAACAGTCTATTCAACTGTAGTACAAACTGTTCTCAACTCCATTATAACTGTTATATCATCTAAACACACACACACACACACCAAGCAACTGTCATCATGACCAAAAAAACAAAACAAAATTCAACACTCAAATAATAGTCATTAATTAATATTGAAAGACCAATAATTCACAATGTAAGCAACAAGAGAAAATAGACAAACTATTGAAAGGACTCCATTTATACATATACATATCTTGAATGTATCATGAATGCATTCTGTTGTTGAATATTTCCCAGTTAGTCGTGTGTCTATGTGTGTGTGTGTGTGCGTGTGAGAGTTCCCGAATTACTTTCTATTTACTTTCTCGTCGTTATGATCTATAGACTAATTAATTATTCTTTTATTTCAATATTTATTAGTCAATAAAATTTATTCATTCTCATATTTATTATATTTGTGTATACCGTTTCAATAATTCAATATGGATTCATCATATCCCATGTGAATTTGTTTAAAATAAAATACAACGTTTGTTTGTTTGTTTATAGTGTGTATTTAATTGTAAATGTCAGAAATACGTAGCCCATTTTTTTATTGGTTTAATTTATTAATTTCTAATAGTTGCGAAGTAGTTATGCGTTGAAAATTGTACAAAATTCTCTCTGTGTGTGTGTGTATGTGTATGTGCGTTTTGTTTTTATATCACCAAACATACTTTGTTACGTGTTCCTATTTACATCAGTGTTAATTATGTAATTTCGAAGGGAGATTCTCTGAGTGTGAATGTTTATTTTGTGTAATTAGTTAGGTGGACACCAGTTACAAGAACATTTCATGGATTAGTATTTCAGGGTTGTGAGTAGAGAGGAGATGGGAGTTAACGAGAGAACATATGTATTTCGACAAAAGACATAAGTCAGCAAACACTTGATGATCTAGGTAGTGTCTCTGATATTAGAATATGCAATTGGAATTGATAGGAATTACACGGCATCAGCACATCAAGATAATATTGAAATATGACAAGTCACATTATTGATGTTTGCTGTACCGACCTCAAGTGATCAGAATATTGATCTGGATCAACTACCATATGATGATGAAGTGGGTTGTATTGTGGAGAGTGATAAGTGAAATGGAACAACATTTTTGAGTAATAGATTAATGTTTGGAAATGATTATTGGAGAGTAGAATTCACTTGTACAAATTCTATGATTTCTGTCAGCCAACACCAAATTTAGAATTTTCATTAAAATATGTCAAAACAATTCTACTGTATGGAGCGGAATCTCGGAGAGTTACAAAAGCTGTCACCCAGAAGATACTAGTATTTATAAACAGTTGTCTACGCAAAATACTTCGGACTCGTTGGCAAGACATTATCTGCAACAATCTACTGTGGGAGTGAACAAACCAGATTCCAGTGGAGGAAGAAATCATGAAGAGGTGCTAGAAGTGGATTGAACACACAATGAGTAACTCACCGAACTGCGTCACAAGGCAAGTCCTCCCTTGGCATTCTCAGGGCCAAATGAGAAGAGGAAGACCAAAGAGCACATTACACCGAGAAATGGAGATAGACATGAGAAGAATGAACAACAATTGTCTAGAACTAGAAAGAAAAAATGGGGACAGAATGTGTTGTAGAATGCTGGTCTGCGGCCTATATTCCATTGGGAGTAACAGGCGTAAGTAAGAAAGTAATTAATTAAAAATTCAGATGTAATCAAACTACTTATTAAAGAACAGTAACAAGATAACTTTATACCTGGAAATAAATAGATAAATGCCTAAATCCACTCGAACAAATAAATCACAAGTGCCTTGAATCTCAAGCTTTCACTTCCTTTAATTACTACGGACTATTTTTTACCTGGCCTAACGAAGCTTGGTTTTGGGGCTAATTCAAATTCACAATCTTCAATGAATTTTCATTTAAAATGTACACATACCATCTTGTCTTGTTAAATATGCAGCTAATCTAATTCTAATGTTCCTCCAAACTTGAT